GCAAACACTGACATTTTAAGTGGTGTTTGTTTTTCTTCAATCTTTTTTTTTTTTTTTTTTCGAGACAGGGTTTCCCTTGCTGTCCTGGAACTCATTCTGTAGACCAGGCTAGCCTCAAACTTAAGAAATCTTCCTGCTTCTGCATCCCGAGTACTGGGATTAAATATGTGTGCCACCAATGCCTGGCCTGTTTTTCAGTTAAAATTTCAATCTAAATTTGATATTTGACACCGGACTCATAAGACAGGCTTCACTTGGTTGAAGAAGCCTAGCCCCTATTTGCCCTGAAATCACTTCCGGATTTTTATCTATCCCTGACCCCCAAATGAATAATGTATCTCTGAAGCGTGGCCAGAGAACAAAAAATAATATGTAGAGATCAGAGTGTTAGATCTTACTAAGCTCATTGGCGGGAGAATGTGTCGAGTCTTGGCCTGCCTATATCCTGACTTGATTAACAACAGACTGCCCTGTGGGCTGGACTCGCGGTTCGGAGGTTGAACCACGCTCAGCAGCGTGGCAGGTGAAGCAAAGGTGGCAGCTTAGCCAGCGGCCACAGCAGCACCACCAACAATCAAGGGAAGCGCGATAAATCGATGAGGAAGAGCAGCTAGTGTCACAGAGATCTAACAAATGTCAGGGAAACCGGATTTCTGAATGAAGTGTTTGAGAGACAGCAATAGCCTGTGCAACCCTGGAGGTTGTGCGTGGGTGACTGGTGTATGACTCAGACCCCATGATGGAAATTTCCTTGGCTTTAAAAGGAGATTGCTGTAGGCAGTCGGTGAGCAAACAGCACTTGCAGGTAAGTCAAAGGAAACCATGGGGAGATTTCGGAAGACAGTTGTTACTCTAGGGAACGCGACCTTAGAAAAAAATTTCAAGCTCCACTTCACGTCACTTCGTGTATTTTTTTTTTAATGTGATGTGGCCTGTGTGGGCCACCCCACACATATGGGGATCAGAGGACAACTTGTGGAAGTCAGTTCTCTCTTTCTAATGGAACCTAGGTCATAGGACTTGGTGAGGAGACCCTTTACTCGCTGAGTCATCCCGCTGGCTGGCTATTATCTTTGTAAATAAAATTACGGAAACTTGAATATGTTGACATTTGATAAGATCATTCTAACTTATGATATTGGGGCAAATTCTGCTCTTATCTGAAATTACTGCATATACATATATGCAATAATATATAGGATCTATATCTTAAAGGTATAAATTTTCATATAAATTTTAATGTGAGATCAATAAATTGAAATAAAACAAAGATAGTTGCTATTATGGTCTTGTTTATCTCTTGTCACCTGGTCTAATAATTTTTTTATTGCCTTAAGTTCTTTCTAATGAATTTTGGTTTGAAATTTATTGGAACGCTTCTGTGAAAAGCCAATATAAACTATTGTTCACCTTTATCTACCTTTCTTAGGGTGTCAGTTACTCATAAGGACTGAGACAACTCATGTTTAAAATTCCACGCTGTTCTAAGTAGCATGACAAAATCTCCTGTGAGTCCCTGTGACTCACCCCCATTCAACACAGGGCTCTGCTGCCTGCTGGTCAATCACATGGTAGCCGTATTAATTACTGAATGGACTTAGGGCATCCAGAGCTAGTGTTCATAATACAAAAATGCGAGAGTAGTGAGCCATGGTGGCAATTAGCATACGCCAGAGAGAGTTTACAAAGATCTTCCCGTAAGTAAAGAAGTGAAAGTTCCCAGTAAGGTTAGTAAAAAAAAAAAAAAAAAAAAAAATCACATCCTGTAGTCGGTCAGATCTGAGGGAGATCAACTGTACCTGTGACATCGTGAGGAAGGAAGAAACAGAAGCTCAGGCTAATTCTGGTTCTCAACCTCAAACTGCACACGGCACATGACAAGTACTTGTTGAGACATAAGATGATACTTGTGCACACATAATATGGAAAAAGAATTATATATGAGAGGATTCAGGACTGGTGGTGACTTTGCGTATCCAGCAGGTGTCTCGGAATGCATACACCCCAAGGGTTACTACTTAAAGACGGCTGCCAATTTGTGATAGTTACAGTGTTTTGACCTATCAATGGTGTGAAAGCAGTAGACTCACGGCTGCCCAGGCTGGTGAGGACACTGACACGCGGAGCAGTCACAGTGAGTCACAGCTCTCACTTAGAAAACCGACCTTGGAGTGCAGCTCTGTGGCCTTTTGGTTTGGGATACAGGTACTCGGGTACATTACACGAGATGTTCATCACAGTATAGTGTAGGCTTAGGGCAAAAGGTACTGGAGATACAGTTCAGTTTGAAGGGCCTTGGCTTCTATCCCCAGTAAGCACAAACAAACAAAACACCACAAAAGAACAAAATAGACAGGCCAGATAAAACTAGGTGAGTGGGGCCTGAAGAGAAGGCGGCTCAGTGGTAAGAGGTGACCGGGGTTCCATCCCAGCATCTGCCTGGGAGCTAACTAGTGACTCTAACTCCAGTTCAAAGGGGACCAGACACCTACTTGCTGGCAAAACACTCATACATATAAAATAAAAATAAATCTCTAAACTAGATAAGTGTTTTAAATCCCTTTTGGAATTAGAATATTTTCCATTTATGTCAGATTTGTCTGGTTGTAATATCATTATAAGTCAAGGAGATAAGTATTATACAGTCAGCGTTTTATCCCCAAGGCCGGGAGCACAGCAATCCATACAATCCAGAACATAATTTATTTAAAATTTTCTAATGAGTCGGGCGGTGGTGGTGCACGCCTTTAATCTCAGCACTCAGGAGGCAGAGGCAGGTGGATCTCTGTGAGTTCGAGACCAGCCTGGTCTACAAGAGCTAGTTCCAGGACAGGCTCCAAAGCCACAGAGAAACCCTGTCTCGAAAAACCAAAAAAAAAAAAAAAAAAAAAAAATTTCTATTGAACAATCTTGATATGTTATTAGTTCAATCCAATCATTTCACAATTTATATCATAGATCAAGATGCCACAGAAAAATACAATTTTTTCCTTCAAAATTTTTGTAACACCTTTTAATACTTCATTTTAATTGTAGAATTTTTCTAGTATCTTCTGTAAATCCAGGAGAGCAGTGAAATGTCAGAGTAAGAGCTGGTGGGGCTGGGGCTCAGTGATTCCTTGCTTGCAGAGGTCCAAGGTTCAATTCCCAACACTACATACATTAAACATAGAAACAAAGTCAGATGAAGTTAAAAGCAATGGTATAATATTTATTGAACACCTTATATTGCCATTTATGGCATTATTGCATTTTATTGAGCACCTTACTTACTGGTCGTTTAAACGTCACGATTTAGTGGGAGGTGTTACTACTGTAAAGGGGGAGGAAGCCGACTACCTAGAGTTCAGCTTCTCTGCGGTAGCTGGCTGTAATTTTGCAGCAGATTCCGCAGATTCACGCTGTGTGCACTGTGCCAGAATCAAACCACCTGGAAAAAAAAAAAACCCTACACTCTTAAAGATTTTGGAGTTGCCACTCCAAAGTGATCAAATCATTGTTTACAATTCTTTTTCTAAATACTTTTTTTTTTTTTGTCTGCCAAATTACCGCCTCTCCTCCCCCACTCCATTTCCTTTTGATCACATCCGCATCTGTTTCTTGGGGTGACTCTCCGGAGGCACTGACACATCCTCTGGGTTTGCTAAGTCTCCTGAACTGCAAAGAGTCTGGCACAAAGAACTCCTTCGCTGTGCTCGCTGCAGCTTCCCGATGTAAGTAACAACACTCGCCCAACTGCTCAATACTTTTTCTTTTCTCTGAGCCTACAACCTTTTTTTCCCCCAGTAAGTTTCTGTTTTTGTTTTGACCCTTTAATTCTTCTCATTTTTTTCTCTCTATTTATACCATCGCTTTTAATTGAGATGCGGGGACAACGGCGCATTAAAGGGCGGCGCGAGTTTCTGATAACGCCACTCCATCCCTCTCTCTCCCAACCCCAACGCTTCTATTCGCCTTCGAAAGCGGGATGTGCATCAAGGAGAGCCAGGGGTCTCTAGTGGTACATAGACCGTCTTTAAAAATAAGCAAATACCTCCATGCAAGAAAAAAGAGAGCACGCCTTTCCCCTTCAACCCGGACAGTACCCGAACCGTCAGCCTGGGCGAGCTTTCGGAAAGGCTCACCTCCGGACAAGATGAGCTGATTGGCGGCCACGCTGCTCTTCGCGGGCAGGTGCAGCGCGGCTCGCCAGTTCCGTGCTAATTTGAGCCCGCAGAGGGACCTTTGATCAGCGCGCTCGCAGCCTGCAGGCTTCCCGAGCTGGGTCCGGCGACTTCAAAAGAGTTATAAAGCGGACTGTAATCCCGGTCTTCCTGTTTCTGCGCCTGCCCCCTGGGTGCTCGTACAACCGCCCGACTTCCCACACTGTCCTCTGGTTCCCACCCTGTGCAGCCACCGCAAACCCTGCGTGCGCTTGCAGGGGACTGGGCCAGACGATGACCCGGCTCAGGCTCATTTGCAGGGATGTGGAGGAGGGCTTGTCACTTAATGCTTGCTGGCCGGAAGCTGGATGTGAAAAGCCCTCCGTCCTGGGGAAATCTATACCAGGAAGGCTGCTATTTAAGTCAGCCTACTTCCACAGACTGGCAGTGGGCTCAAATTTTGATCCATAAACTCTCTCTCTCTCTCTCTCTCTCTCTCTCTCTCTCTCTCTCTCTCTCTCTCTCTCTCTTCCTCTCCCCCCCCCCTTCCCCTACCTATCAGCTATCATCTCTGTGTTTTGAGACAAAGTTTCACTTTATCATCCTAGCTGGCCTCGAACTCTACATCCTACCTGCATCCTTCTTGTTCTCAATATTTTCATCCCTACTTGCCTTTGAATTTTCATTCTCTTTCAAGTCCCTCATAACTTTGGGTTCTGGGATCTTGATTGTATTTGGGATTCAAAAAAAGACTTTTGAAAACTTAATATGTATTTTGTGTGTCAAGTGTGTGTCCCTTGGCAAGCGTACAGAACAGGGGCCAGAGGACAACTAGAAAGCGTTCTCTCCTCTCCGCCTCCTTTAGGGAATTGAACTCAGGTCCTTGGGTGTGGTGTGGCGGCAGGTGCGTCTACCTTCTGAGCTGTCTCCCTGGTCCTGATCTATGGCTTATATTACAACAGCACAGAGGGGAGGTGAGAACTGGACTAGTGTGGCTTAAGCAAGCATTTTGTTGTGTTTTCACGGTACAAGGGCTTGAACTCAGGCCTTGACCAATGTGAGGATAAGCTCCATAGAGCCTTCTAAGTCAATTATTTGGAATCTTTGAAAAGCTTAATTTCTTTAACCACCCCAGCTGCCCTGGAACTCACCCTGTAAACAACAATTTAGTATTTAAAACACCAACCCCTCCCCCCCCCCCAAAAAAACCAAATCACTAAACTTCAAAGTTGTTGAAATATCACAAAAGGTAAACTGAGGTCTCTGCAGAGTATCCCCCCTAAGTTGGCCAAAGAGAGAAGGAGAAAGCAAACCAGGTTCTGCCATGGGGTGACCCATCCTTGAGTAATTCAGAACTGGGATGGGGGCTGGAGAGATGGCTCGGTGGTTAAAATCACTGGCTGCTCTTCCAGAGGACCCGGGTTCTAGTACGCACACTACAGTTTCCAACTGACTAACATCGGGTCCTAGGGATGTAACACTGGTACCCACAGGATATTAGAAAGAAAGAACTGGGCTTGGTCTGGGGCGAACTCAGTGGTAAAGCTCTGGCCTTTCATGGCACGTGAAAGGCCCCATGTAGATCCCCAGCACCAAAAAGGACAGAAACAAAACCGAGCAAACCCAAGTGACTCAGGCTCACAGTTCTCCGGAACTTCCTGCTGTCTCTGAAGCCCTCACACTGCTTCCTCCTCCGAAGTCCTAAGGAGAGAAGGAAGTGAGGGCAGCTTTGCTGCTGTGTCAATAGAAACTGGGGAAGGGCAGGCTGGGGAATGAGCAAGTCAGGGCCAGACCAGAGCCAAAAGGCAGAAGCCCAGGGGCAAGTAAGAGGAAGCAGGATTCTGGCCCCTATCCAGGGAGGGTCACCTCCACCGACAATTTAACCATTATCTGGCCACTCAGTTTTGCTCTAAAGAACTTGCTTTTGCTGGGTGCAGGCCTTCATCTCAGCATTTGGGAGGTTGAGGCAGAGGCAGGCAGATCTCTGTGAGTTCAAGGCCAGCCTGGTCTACATAGTGAATTCCAGGAGGGTTGGAGCAACAGACATCCTGTTTAGAAACAAGCATCAAAAACAAAACAAAACAAAAACAAAACACACACACACACACACACACACACACAAAAAAAAAACAACAACAAAAAGAAGTTGTTCTTTGTAACTTTACTCTGTGTGTTTGTGTGCTCGGGCGAGTCTCTCTCTCTCTCTCTCTCTCTCTCTCTCTCTCTCTCTCTCTCTCTCTCTCTCTGTGTGTGTGTGTGTGTGTGGTCTTCCTCTGATTTCTGATGCTGTGATAAACAATGACTGAAGGGTTTATTTGGCTTACACTTCCTCATCACAATCCATCTCTAAGGGAAGTTGGGGTGGGAACTCAAGATAGGGACCTGGAGGTAGAACCTGAAGTAGAGGCCCATGCTTTGTGGTACTGGCCCAAAGTGGGCTGGGCTGCCCTAACTCAAAAATTAATCAAGAAAATGTCCTGTCCCACTGATAAACTCACAGGCCAATCTGATGGAGCCGATTCCTCAATGGAGGTCCCCCCTTCCTACTAATTCCTGTTGAGCTGACAAAAGCTAGCGGCACAGGTGTTATGATGGATGTCTTTAGACAAAACCACCCAAAGATCATTGCAAACTTTAGGGCTGACCCTTCAGGGGAAAGAACAATCTGTGTTAAAACATCAAATTTGAGAGTCGAGTTTTATATTTCAGGTGGGAGCAATTGATGTGTAGAGTCAGTGTGCCCCGAAAGAGTCGGTAGAGAGGAGTGGAGGCTGGAAGAGGAGTCAGAGAAACAGGAAGAGGGGTGCTGTGGGCTGCTGGCCACTAGTCCTAGGCAGCCGAACATCAGGCAAGTCCTGCCAAGTTCAGGCAAAGTCTTCTGTACTGAACGTAGGAGGGGAAGATCAAAAAAGACTATAATGTTTCTTTAATTTTTCTTTCCTTCTCTTTTTTCTCCCTCCCTCCTTCCTTCCTTGGTGTTTAGGAATTAAACCCAGGATCTTATACATACATCTTAAGCATACACCCCAACACTGACCTACACCCCCAGCCCCCCTAACTTTCTGATGACTGTAGGACCCAGCCCTACAGGTTCAATGGAGATCACCCAGGCACCACCCAGGACCAGACCATCCAAGGGAAAATACCTAACATTCCAACCATTACAGATAGGCTCACCTGACAAAGAGCAGCACACATCCATCCATCCCATAGACAAATGTCAGTCAATGTCAAATCAGGGGTCCTGAACCTTAGAAGTCCCCTCACCCCAACCTCTGCTGAGAGAAAAACTCCACCTCAGCTGTGCTCGGAGCACTCTGACCTTACTGCTGTGTTGGATGGACGGAAGGTCCAGGCTTGAGCGTGAGTAAAGGTTCTTCGCTGAATACGAGTGTGGACTCCGTGGTGGTTTTTTGGGGGGACCCCACGATCTGGGTATAACAATAACCAACAGAGCTCCCGTAAAACCTGTAGCCAATTAGTGATGGCTACTGAATCATATTGATGTAAACTCAGCAAGTAGCCGGAGGAAGAGCTGGAGGCTGGAGAGGAAAGAGCCCCATGACTACAAGAGACAAAAAGGTGGGCTGTAGAGATGGCTCAGAGGTTAAGAGCATTGCCTGCTCTTCCAAAGGTCCTGAGTTCAATTCCCAGCACCCACATGATGGCTCACAACCATCTGTAAAGGGGTCTGGCGCCCTCTTCTGGCCTCCAGGCATGCACACAGAGTATTGTATACATAATAAATAAATAAGCGTTTTAAAAAAAAAGACTATTTCCTTAAATCTTTTCAAATCTACCATTTCTACAGGATTCCAATTAACTTCTGCATAACCTTGGGGCTTTTTTAAAAAAGATCTATTTATTTATTATGTATATGGTGTTCTGTCTGTGCGTATGCCTACAGTCCAGAGGAGGGTGCCATGTCTCATTATGGATCATTGTGAGCCATCATGTGGGTGCTGGGAATTGAACTCAGGCCCTCTGGAAGAGCAGCCAGTGCTTTTAACCTCTGAGCCATCTCTCCAGCCCACCTCACCTGGGGCTTCTTATCATTTAGTGGTCATTCTTATATGGTAACTGGATTCCC